AACAATAACAATAACAATAGCAATAACGATAGCAATAACGATGATAATAATGATAATGATAATAATAATATTATTATTGGTAATAATAATAATCATAGTAATATATACACACACAATAAAGCCAGACGGCTTAGGGTTCAGGGTTTCGGGCTTAGTGTTCGGGGTTTCGGGCTTAGTGTTCAGGGGTTCGGGTTTAGGGTTCAGGGTTTCGGGTTTAGTGTAGTGGGGGTTTAGGGTTTTGGGTTCAGGGTTTAGTGTAGTTGGGGTTTAGGGTTTAGGGTTTGAGGTTTCGGGTTTCGGGTTTAGTGTAGTTGGGGTTTAGGTCAATAAGAACTTCTGGCAAAAGCTGAGACAGGACTCCCGCAGCTCTCAGAAGGGGACTGTAGAATTTGGCATTGCTCTAAACCCACCCTAAACCCCAAACCCAAAACCCTAAACCCTAAACCCTAAGCCAACAAGCCCCAAACCGTCGACCCTGAGAACGGTAGAGTAGAAAAGTCTTGGGCCAGACCTCTCGTCGGCTGCCCGAACTGCTCTGATTGTAAGGCCCCTTTGTACAGCCCTTGAGTACAGAGATCCTCTTTCCTGTTGTTTGTTTATTGCTAGCAATATCGTCTTGAACCCTAAACCCTAAACCCTCAACCCTAAGGGACTTTGATTTAAGTTAAGGTTCCCGTGACATGAGCCTCTCTCCTTGAAAGCTGAACGAGATGATTGTTGGTCTTTAGAGCTTGGTGGCAGTTTCGGGTATGAGAAAGCCTGGACTTCAAAGAGGTTTGTAGGATTTCGATGACAATGGGTTTAGGGTTTAGGGTTCAGGGTTAGGGTCTTTGTGACAATGGGTTTAGGCTGTACTATATCAGGCTTTATACACCGTTCGTGTGATGGTGCTTGGCCGAGCAAGTTTTGGAGCTACCCTGCGCCCTGCAGTTCAAGCCTTTCGTGTGGTTTTTGGGGTTTAGGGTTTAGGGTTTAGTGCTGAGCATGAAAGCTGGGAAGGCCGAACAGCTCTTCCCCAACAATGACGTGGTGTGGCTTGGCACGCATTCTCAGAATTCAGTGTTTCGGTGGTCTACCAGGCATCGCAGACTCTCCGAAATCCGAAGCCTTCAAAAAACG